GTTGACTCTGCCTGATCCCATTATGATTTTCGAAATCTTCTTCTATAACCACCCTAACAATAGACTCTAGCAATTTCACAGATATCAGGATAACAGGCCTACAGTTTCCTCTGTCCTGTCTCCCTTCTTGCTTAAATAAAGATGTTACATTTGCCATTTTCCAATCAACTGAGACAATTCCAAAATCTAAGGAATTTTGGAAGATTATATCTGGTCAAGTCAGCAGCACAGAAAGAGGTCACTTAGTTCAATTGATCAGAGCTAGTGTTTATAATCTACATAAATCTCTTCTCAGCTTCCTTCATGTGACCCATCAGTGTATCCTCCTTTTCTTTTCTCCCCTGTGTTCATCAAGTTTTACCTTAAGTCTGTGCTATTCACTGTAACATTCCCCGTGATACAGAGTTCCATGTTCCTGTCACTCAGAGGTTTCTCCTAGATTTATCAGTGATTATTTAACACAGATTACACTAGCTTTATTTCTTCCATAAGTGGAAACAACCACTGTTTTTTTTCTATTCTATCAAACCTGTTCATCATTTTAAAAATCTTTACCAAGTCAACCACTCAGCCTTTTCTTTTTCAGGAGACTGTTCAGTCTTTCTTAAAAAGTATAACCTCTCAGTTCCGGTATTATCCTTGTAAATTGTTTACAGTGCAATAGAGCCTCTAACATGGATACCAGAACTGTGTACAGTCCTCCAGGTACAGGCCAACTAAGCCTTGGTAAGAATTTAATATGATTTCTCTGCTTTTCTGACACTCTAGAAATAAATCCCAGTGCTTCTTTCTGCTTTCTTACTATCCTGTGCTGCCACTTTTAGCACTTTGTGTATTTGTACACAACCCTCCCCTGCCCCTGTCCCCCTCTGGTCCTCCATTTAATCTTATTATCTAAAGATACCTTATCAAGGGGGAGGGAATGGCCTAGTGGTATTGTCACTGGACTGCTAATCCAGATAATGTTCTGGGGACCTGGGTTCGAATCCCACCATGGCAGGTGGTGGAATTTGAATTCAATAAATATCTGGAATTAAGAATCTAATGATGACTGTGAATTGATTGTTGGGGAAAAACCCATCTGGTTGACTAATGTCCTTTAGGGAAGGAAACTGCCATCCTTACCTGGTCTGGCCTACATGTGACTCCAGACTGATGGCAATGTGGTTGACTCTTATCTGCCCTCTGGGCAATTAGGGATGGGCAGTAAATGCTGCCTGGTCAGTAACACCCTCATCCCATGAATGAAGAAAGAAAAAATCTGAATTGAAATAAATGTACATCCTTCAAATTTATTAATGCCTATATGTTCCTATGTTTGGTCACAATCTACCCCGGTAGTAAATGCTGCATTGATTTGGTGTCCTCCAATTCTAAATCACACTTATTTTTTTGCAGTCACATGATGTGTGATTAATGAATTGCATTGGATGGTATGGCCACCAAACAAGACAAGTAAAGCACCAAGGAAATCCTGGGATCCATGCCTGCTCTGCCCTAAGTCTCAGCCAGGATGTTTAGCTGATCATTTTTAATCTTTTCCTGTCTAGACTCTCTCTCAGACTTTTTGTTCTTGTCCCTCCCCTAAAATACGGCATTACTTCCCACCCAACCTGAGTGAGCTGCCCTAATTCTAAACTAAGACCTTCCTTTCTGATTAAACTCAGGTAGCAAGTGAGAGCAGACAGTTTGGCCAGGTGGGGCATCACAGTGGAGCCTGATCCTTTTGTTAGCAGATGCTGACAGCTGAGCAACAGCAGGAATGCTGGCAAGTATTCACGAGCAGGATCCCGGACTGGTATCTGCACCAGTATAGGATTCTATAGCTGTCGTCATTAGCGGGGAATCCTTTGTGAGAAGGTGCTGGTTTAGTGGATATCACTGCATAAGTAATCCAGAGCCCCAGGCTGATGCTCTGGGGACATGCCTTGAAATCCCACCATAGCAAATAGTAAAATTTCAATTCACAAATAAAACCTAATGGCAACGCTGTGACCATTGTTGATAATTGTAAAAACCCATCTGGTTCACTAATGTGTTATAGAGAAGGAGATCTGCCATCTTCACCCAGTCTGGCCTACATGTAAATACAAATCCACAGCATTGTAGTTGACTTTTAACTGTCCTCTGGGCAATTAGGGATGGGCAAAAATAAGGCAGTGACATTCAGATCCAATATACTAATTAAAATGACCTTTTAGGATGCCATCCCTTGAATGAGGGGATTTGGTATCTGGAGTGTGGAGGATTTGAACCCCTTTGTATTGGCTCATGCATGAAACTCGTACAAGAACAGAAAGTGCACAGTGTGTCAAGGCAGCCAGCAGAAGCAGCCTGAACTATCACAGCATTGTCCCCAAATGAAACATCACACTGCAAATGCTGGAAATCAAAAATAAAATAGATAGTGAAGAAGTTGAAACTGTTGAGCAGTCAGGCAGTTTCCGTGGAGACATTGAAGCTAGGCAGTCCCATACTTCTAAGGCCCTTTCTCAGAAATACAGTCCTTAAACCTGAAACATTAACTGACCTGCTGAATATTTCCAGCTTTTCCTGTTACTGTTTTCCCAATATTGCCCTGGATTCCAGTGGTTTACTTTAACGTTCATTCAAATAAAGAAAGAAAAAATTTTGAAATCAAAAGTTTTCAGGTTCAGGCCCCACTCCAGAGACTTGAGCTCATGTTTCAGGTTGACACTGGTATTGCTGGAATGCTGCACTATCAGAAGTACTACCTCTCTGATGAGATATGAAACATCTGCCCTGTTCACCCTCTGATGTAGATTTAAAACACCTCATGGCGTTATTTGAGGTAGAGCTCCCTGTGATGACCTGGCTCCTCTTTACCCCTCAACCAGAGCAATTTGTGGGATCTTGCTATGTGCGTATTGACATGTTTCCTACTATGCAGCAACCACCACATTTTAAAGTATTTTATTGGCTGTTAAGGAGCTTGGGATGTTGTGGTAGGAATAAAAGTAGGCTCAGTGAGTGTGTTCTGGCACTCTTTGCTCATGGCTGATTGAACACTCAATGCCTTTTACCCTTGCTAACCAGTAATTAGAAATCTATCTATCTCATCTTTAAACATACTCAAAGACTGAGCCTCCACAGCCGTCTAGGGTATAGAATTCCAAAGATTCACAACACTCTGATTTAAAAAAAAACTCTTCTCATCTCAGTTGTAAATGGCATCCTCCTCATTTTTAAAACTATCTCTGGTTCTTGAATCCTCAACCAGGGAAAACATCTTACCTGCATCAACTTTGTTTATTCTTTTAAGTATTTTGTATGTTTCAGTGAAATCACCTCTCATTCTTCAAAGCTCTAGAGAATGCAGGCCCAGGTTGCCCAGGCTTTCTTTATAGTTCAGTCCTGCTATCCTGAGAATGACTCCTAGTGAACATTCATTGCACTGTATGGTAATAAAATCCCTCCTGAGACAAAGAAGCCGAAACTGCACACAGTGCTCCAGGTATGGTCTCACTAAGGCCCTGTACAAATGCAACAAGACTTCAACATTCCTGTATGCAAACTCTCCTGTAGAAAGGCTAACATTCCATTAAACTTCCTAATAGCTTACCACACCTACAAGTTAGTCTTCAGTGACTTATCAACAAAGGTCCCACCATTTGATCATGGCTGATGCTTCTCAACCCATTCTCCTGTCTTCTCCCTGCAACCTTTGATCCCTTTACTAATCAAGAACCTATCTATCTCTGTCTTAAAACTGACCTGGCCTTCACAGCCTTCCGCAGCAATGAGTTTGATAGATTAACTACCCTCAGGCTGAAGAAATTCCTCCTCACCTCAGTTCCCCAGTTGGTGTCCTCCAGTTCTAAATCACTGTTTTTTCAGTCGCATGATGTGTGATTAATGACAGTACAGCCACCAACCAAGAGATTTCACTTTTCATCTTACTGTTTAAGAAAAACCCTGTATGCCTCTTTCTCTTACCAATGTAGATAACCTCACATTTTACAACATTATATTCCATCTGCCATGTTCCTATCCCTTCACTAATTTTGTCCAATTCATCCTGAAGCTGCTTTCCATCTTCATCACAACACACTTTCCCACTTAGCTTTGTATCATCTACAAATTTGGAAATATTACATTTGGTCCCCAACTCCAAATGATGTGTATTATGAATATCTGGGACTCACGTACTGTTCCTTGTAATGCCCCACTAGTCATAACCTACCAATGTGAGAATGTGTACAAAGTTCTGAGGGGTGTAGATAGGAAGAAACTTCCGTTTAGTAGAGCGATCAATAACAAGGAGACACAGTTTTAAATTTTGGAACAAGAGTGTTAGAGGGGATTTGAGGGAAAATAAAATCACCCAAAGGGTTTGGGTATCTGGAACTCATTGCCTGAAAGAGTGATTGAGGGGTAACTGAAGTGAAGGAGAATTTCTTCAGCCAGAGGATATCGATCTCATTGCTGCGGAAGGCTGTGGAGGCCAGGTCACTTTGAAGACAGAGATAGATAAGTTCTTGATTAGTAAGAGGGTCAAGGGTGATAGGGAGAAGACAGGACAATGGGTTGAGAAGCATCAGCCATGATCAAATAGTGGAGTAGACTGGATGGGCCAAATAGCCTAATATTGCTCCTATGTATTCTGGTCTTTTGGTAGAGGTAGGAACCTTAAAATAATTAAGAACTACTTAGATGAGCAATTGAAACACCATAGCAGACAACACCATGGGCCAAGTGCTGGGAAGAATACAATTAGAATAGATGAAGTAAAACAAACAACAATGGATGCTGGGGATCTGACCCCAAAACAGACATAAAAACCAAAAGAACTGTGGATTGCTGTAAATCAGGAACAAAAACAGAAGTTGCTGGAAAAGCTCAGCAGGTCTGGCAACATCAGTAAAGAAAAATCAGAGTTAACATTTTGGGTCCAGTGACCCTTCCTCAGATTCTGTTCTGGAACAAAAACTACATTGCTGGTGAAACTCGGCAAGTCTGGCAGCATCTGCTCTGATGAAGTCACTGGACACAGACCGTTGACTCTGCTTTCTTGTCACAGGTGCAGCCAGACCTGTTGAGATTCACCAGCAATTTCTGTTTTTGTGTTAGATGGATGTTTAATGATCAGCAGGGACAGAACAGGCTGAAGGTGCTATTTCCATGCTGTAATAAAAATCTCTGACTGTATGACCCATTTATTCCTACTCTCTGTTTTCTGCCTGTCAGCCAATCCTTAATGCAAGCCAGTACATTTCCTTATATTCCATCTGCTTTAATTTTACTAACCACCCTCCAATGGGGACCTTATCAAAAGATGAATATTGTGAAAGGTGCTATATAAATGCAAGTCTTTTTTTATACTTTGCTTCACCTAATGCTAAACGACATCACAAAATATTAGTGGAGGTACAAGCTGCCCCCTTGTCAATAGTACAGTGGGTGATGTGACAATGTCTAGTGACATTCATGATTTGGGAGATAATCATTAACGTTAAGGTAGGCCGAGTAGCCAGGTTTAGCGGTTGCCTTTAGAGCTGGCGGTTGAAGTTATAAGCTGGTAATTGAAGTTAGAAATTGTTGTATTGACAATGCCAGTGTCAGATGTTATTTGGGAAGGAAATGTTCCCATTTTATTTGAATGTTTGGATCCTAACGCTGGAATAACACTTGTCCAGGCAATGTAGTGTGTGTGTGTTGGAGTATATGGATTGTGGAGCAGAGAGTGTTAAACATAAACTAAACTCCTCCTTCCCCCCGCACACTGGATACCTGACGTGTGAGCTTGCTCCGGGTTTTATATAAAGCAGTTCGGGACCGGGCTCAGAGGCGGCCAGTCCCCAGATCACCAAGCCCCCACCCCCGGAGCTATGCTCAGCATGCGGCAGTCTTACACCGTGACCGTAACCGAGGAGCCGCTCTTCAGCCTCTTTAACAAGGAGCTCCGCAGGAAAACTCCCAGCGTCTCCGGCTCCATGATCGTCTCTACATTTGTGGGACTCCTCATCAACCAGGCGAAGGTAAGGAGACTCCGGCCGGGGGCGGCGGCGGCGCCCGGGGGGGG